CCCGGCCCCAAGCTGGGAGAGGGCGGCCGCGGGGACAGCCCTCAGGAACGGTTAAATGGGATCTGTGGGATTTAATGATCTCCGTGCCCGTAGAACTGCCCCAGGTGGTGCCACGTTCAGCACGTGGAGATCCCGGTGCAGGACAATACCTACAACTGCGTGAACACAAACAAGGATATGAATAAAGCTACCTGCATTCTTCACTGTTCTGGGGTTTACTCATGGCTGGTTTTCAACCGTTACTGTTTCAAAAGTTACTGTTTTCAACAGTAAGTTCTGACGAGCTCCTGTGTAAAGTCTGTGTGCTCAGCAGCATTAGAGCCCATCCTTTTTTTTCAGTCTTAGGCTTTGGAGAGCCACGTTACACCTCCTAAATACACCTTTATCAAGTGACTTTTATAGCTAGACTTCATATATGTTTTATTATTGTATTTGTTTCTCGGCTTGTGGCACACACTGTAAGGTCTCAGATGCACTCCTAGATACTTGGATCTAGTACAGAAAACCAGCCTGCATTCTTAATAAATTAAATATGATCTTACATAATCTTTCAAAGTGTATTTGCAAAGCACAGGAATAAGGGATTGGTCCCAGTGTTTAATTCAGAACAATGAAACTTTTCAAGTGTCTGCATTTACGCCACAGATTTGTGGGTGCTTGTAATGTCCTGGGAGACCAGGAGTTAAAAGCTGTTTAGAAGTTAATGTGCTCTAAGGGTATAAAAGAAGCTTCCATGGCTTTAGTTCCTAAACTCCTGTTGGGAAATGCACTGTATCTGTCCTAGGAAAGATCTTCTCAGGAGACAAACTTCTTGCATGTTAAATGAGGTAAGTGCACAGGCAATCTCTGCATTTCATTCAGCATTTTGCAAGGAATTATAACCACTACAGTACCACCAGCAATAAAAGATAAGCTACGCGTACTAGCACTGTGTGTTTGTGTTTTGCCGCTTGCTCTTCAAACTGCTGTGGTGTTTTAATTCTGCAAACCAAGATTCAGCGCATGAGTCATTTTTTCAGGCAGCATGTGAATAGCCATTTTGGCATCACTGCTAAAGAGGCTGAGGTCAAAGGACAGAACAGACTGTCTACTGCTGTATAATACAACTTTACTGCTTTGTTTAATGGATTACTTACTAAAATTAAGTATCTGACAGCTTCTGAGTACAGGAATAACACAGTTGAATGTCTAAGTAAACAGAGTAAACAGTCTCTCTGTATGAACTCGCTGTAAGGTTCAGCAAATCTGTGTGCGTAAGCTGAAACAGAGAGAGAAACTTCTGTAGGAAATAATATTCCTGGCAGAACTTGTCTAGGTAAGTCCTGTGTTAACCTTTCTGTTCATAGACCTACAGTCTATCAACCTGCATTATAAAGCCTCTCTCAGGCACTAGCCAAATACTCTCTCAGTCACTGGAGTATAATCTTAATAAAAAGGAATTGTTCAATAAACATTTTCATTCCCTTTCAATGTAGCATTTTTTATATAGTGTGCCAGATGCTAGTTGCAAATACTTGTTATTTACCGGAGTAAAATGCTTATTTTCTGTTATTTAGCTCTTTTATTCTAAATGTTTTGATCCTCACAGTGGAAGTTATGGCTGCTCTTTGGGTTGAGTTTCAGAAACCTGTCTGAATGCTTTTGGAAGAGGAAGAAGCCCAGTTGTTGACTCAGGGTTTTTTTTTGGGGGGGTGACATGACCATGTTCCCATTGTGGACTGTATCTGTTTCCTTTTTCGTAAGAGTTTGCAGAAGTTAGAAGGGTTGTCACTGGCAAAGTTTTTTCAGTATGTTAGAGGTTTGTGTTAGCAGATTCCAAGATAGAACTAGAGCCAGGAATATTAGGGCAGTCAGTTGTGGATAAATTGCACTTTAATTTCAGCTAGTGTTCCCTCTAATCGCTATTCTTCAGATATTATAAAACAAAAAGGTTATACAAGCAACAACATGCTTTGAGGAACTCAGCTGTTCTTGTTTTTTTTAGATGAAGGTACTTGATGTTTCAGCATTAAGTGCTGATCTAGAGCCAAGATATGATTCTCATTTTACTGGTTTTACTCTTTAAATAATTCTGCCCTTGTATGCTGTAATGTTTATGTAACTTCAAACATACATGAGTATACTTGTTACACCTAGTTTGCAATGCAAAAATGTCAGATATATTTAAGTGCATTATTAAAGTTTACATTAAAAAAAGTCCTTTCATACTGTCATTCATACAAGATTTACCTATATATGTTAATGGAGATTGCCAGGAGAAGTTAACTTTTGAACTGTGTAGCAGTATCATTAACTAAATATGGTAAATGAAGGGGAGGGCTCCTGGAGAGGGAGGAGTGCTGGGTTAGCAACTCCCCGCCCCGCAACCCGAGTCAAAAACTCTTAGAGAAATATTAATTCACTTTCATTCACATCTGACCTAAACAGGCTTAAAGAATTCACTATTAAAAAGGGGAGTGGTTTTGGGTTTTTTTGGGGGTTTGTGTTTTTTTTGAGACAAACGTTTTATTTTATTTTTTGTTTTGCTTTCAGCACTTCTTATTGCTGCTGAAAAGCATGACTTCCTCTTCTGTCGTTTGTAAACCTTCAGTAAGACGGGTGGCTATCTTCGGGGGAACTCATGGCAATGAGTTATCAGGGGTGTTTTTGGTCAAGCACTGGCAAGAGAATGGAGCTGAGATTCAAAGAACAGGATTGGAAGTGAAACCATTTCTTACCAACCCAAGAGCTGTGAAGAAGTGTACTAGATACATTGACTGTGATCTGAACCGTGTTTTTGACTCTGATAATCTTGGGTAAGAATAGTTGTACTTTCTGTTGTTTTACTTTTCTGTTCTTTACAACTGTAAGAAGCTTCCTTTCCAGATTAAAATGTTAACACAATTTCCACTACTATTTATTTTAACTGTGCAGTCACATAACTGAAATTACTGACCTTTAACCCAAAAAGAACAAATTGTGTGAACGTTAACAGATTAATTTTAAATCTCTTGCTAACAGAATGAGTCTAAAACCTCATACAGTCTTAAACACAAGATTTTAAATTAGTATTAGATTAGTTGTATTTGTGTAAACTTTAGTGCTGTTCTGAGTTGCAAAGTCATTATTTGTCACGTCTTCTGCAGTTCAGCTTTGGAGCTCATCTTCCTGCAAGTATAATTGTATTCAGAAAGCAGATAAAAGCAATTTAAAGTTAGACATCTGAGTATCTGAAAAAATGGCATACAAATTTGAGAAGTGTTTAATTTCAGTTATATACAGTAAAGATAAAACTTTAAATTAACTAAGTTAGAAATCATATATTCTATGTCAAAATGATAGCCAGAAAGTCTCAATAATTTAACTGACTCATTATTTTAGAAGAAATGAAACCTCTAATTATGTAAAATAGTAACTGATTTTACATTTATAAGGGGATTTTATGTTTCTCAGCTTTTGAGACATCTATTCCATAGGTGTACTTTGCTGTATAAACATCCTTATGCTTGATATAGTTACATGCTAAACAGCTAATCACATCTCAGAAAGGTCTTAATGGTAAAGGTGGATATTACTGAAAGAAACATGTATCACTTCCTTTCTAAGAATGGTTATTCTTACCCTGCGTGTCTTTTCATCTAGTTTTTCATCTTAAAGTTTTGTTGTTACTATATATAAGATAAACAGACTTTTTAACTTGCAAGAGTTGAGGCCATTCTTTTAATTGCTTACTTAGGACAAACATATTTATATAAAAAGTAGGTTGTTTGTTTTCAGCTGCTTTGAACATAGAACACTTGAAAAAACAGCAGATTAAGACACCTCCAGGTTGTCCTCATTAAATCGTATTAAGTTGCCCAGTACTATTACAACAACACTACTGACTGTTTGGAATACCTTCACCTGATCCCCTTAAATGTATACCCTTCAAGATTGCAAATGATTTTACAAAATAAGAAAAAGGAGAGTGAAATCCTGATACTACTGGAGGCAATGGTGGAAGTCCTATTGTCTTTGATAAGAAGTATTAATTTAACATTCTTATGTGAAGAAACCTTGAATTTCAAAGACAAAACTAAAAAATACAGAGGTAGATTATATGATATACAGAATCATAAAAACGGAAAAGGAGCTTGAGTGGCTCATGTAAAAAATTCTAATCCACATCGCATCCCACCAATAGATCAACTGCATGCAGACATTCCTAATAGATTATGGCCTCTCATTTCTAATACTTTAGCAGTGATGATTCCATAATTTTCCTCAGCCATCTCTTCTGATGCTTAAATATCCATGCAGTTAGCAAGGGGCTTTTTTAGTATTTAACAAAACTTTATGAAACTCAATACCAGTATTTCTTACAAAAAATAAAATACTTCAAAGCTTGAGCTGCATTGAGAAAAAAAACAAAACCCTGAATTTAGTGCAAATGTATTGGGTGTGTCTACATTGTATCCCAAGCCTGTCATTGAAACCAGATTTTTGCTGTCTGCATGGAACAAGTCTGAACTTACAGCAGCTTTGTTCACTGTTAATATGTAAGATAGATAGACATCTTTGTGTCATACATCAGTTTCCTCTAGAGGCCTTATACAGACAGGAAGCAGATCCCAGACCTTTCCTTAGGCAAAGATGGTGTTTTTAAAGTGTAGTGCAGACATAATCAGCTGAGATTACAAGTATTAAAACTGGAGGAATAGATTTGAGATAGCAAAATCTTCTATGACCTTTGAGGGTCAGGAGGGCTCAAAACAATATACTGTAAGTCTGATCAGCATATAAGAAGACAAGAAATGAAGTTACAAAAGACCTTGTAAGTAATGTCCAAGGTTAAAGGCCAGGGACTGATATCAGAATACCATCTTCAGTAGGAGCTGTATCCAGTCTTGAGAGTGGTTTAAGTTGTTGATAAATTTTGAGTTAGTTTGATGCATAGGGGGAAATTTTTGAATGTAAGTAAGTGAGAATAGTCTTCAGCTAAAATCAGATAAAAAAAAATCTTACTACCCTTCTGCACAAGGTACAGAATAGTAAGACCTGTTTAACAATCATACTTGCTTTTTTCAAGCACAAAGTTTTAACAGTTTGCTAACTAAATACGTGATTTCAATTCCAGTCAGTTATGGAATTAAAAAAAAAGGGTATACGTATGTTGTTGACTGTAAAGCCATGGAATGAGTTTACTAATTTCTTTGTACTGATATTAACAGCAGGCCAGTGGTGGAAGATATTCCATATGAAGTGAGAAGGGCTCAGGAAATCAATCATATATTTGGTCCCAAAGGTAGTGATGATGCGTATGACCTTATTTTTGACCTTCACAACACCACTTCTAACATGGGTGGTACCCTTATTCTTGAAAACTCCAGGGATGACTTTACAATTCAAATGTTGCATTATATCAAGGTAAAATTAATTTCAATGAACTATAAAAGTAGATTATTAGTTGTAATGTTGTATTACTATATATTATTTTGTAGTTTCTTTAAATATACCACTTTTTATTCTGCAAAACTGTTTAAAATATTTAATCACTCATAGGATGATTTTTTAATCAGAAGTAATTAATATGTTGATTATAATGTCAGGTAATACAGATTTGAACTCATAATCTTCATGTATTAAAATGAGTGATAGTAAGACTGATGGGAAAAGAGGAATGCTTAGGGTAACACCTATGAAAAGGAATGTAATTTAATCTGCTTTCACACTGATCTGTCAGGAACTTGGATAAATTTGGGTCACACATGCTAAATAGCTAAACATTAATTTTCTGAAATAAAGACACGTAAAAAATAACGGAAGTAGGTAATGACAAATGTACCCTTCATCAGTAGTTACAGGAATAGCAATACGTCTTTAGAAGCTGTTTGATTCTGTGGTTCCTGAAGCTGACAAGTATTGGTAGAGGGAGGTTTGTGGAAGTGCTGCCTTAGGTGTAATCTGATTGACCTCGACAGTGACTTATGAGATCGAGGTTAGGCTTTTTTTTTTTCCCATAGAAACAAGGTGTATTTTCAATTTTTTTCCCCCTTGTTGCAGGTATCCCATTTAAATGTTTATAAAATATTTGAAGATACAGAAAGTTTATGACTAAAATTACATGAAGAGCAATGGTAGGCAATGATCAGGACAGAGGCCAGAAATAAGTTTCTATATCAAAAAAGGTCACAATAAGTCTTAATTTATAATCCATATGTCCCTGTAAGAGAATCTAACACAAAAATACTTGAAATCTGCTTTACAGTATTCTGATTCTAAGTTTTGGAACACTGATGGGTAGTTTCCTTCCTGTTAGTAATTTAAGACTAGAACTGTGTTCAGTTATATTAGGAGACAGCAAAGTTCAGTGGAGCATGGCTGGCAGGAGTTAATGGAAAGGAGAGAAACAAATACAGCTTTGTACGTTTTCTAAAGATGTCCTACTTCTCTGAGGGCCATGAAATAAAGGCAACATATTGAAGACATTGTGTAAATCACTTCTGCATCAGTAATCTTTTGTGGCACAACATTTTAAAATATTTGCATAACAAAGACATTTTAAAATAATCTCCACAGAACGCTTTGGCTCCAGAACGCTGTCCTGTTTTGCTGATTGAACATCCTAGCTTGAAATACGCAACAACTCGATCTGTAGCAAAACATCCTGTTGGTAAATATGAAAAATAAAAGACTATTTTAACCCACCATGAAGTGTTTTAAAATATGCCTGTTTCTAGATGTGTTCATTTCATTACACGGAGTGCTCTGATCACCAGTGGATATTTGACAATATATTTACTGAGTCAAATGTCTCTGATTATCTCTTCTCCTTAAGAGTTCTGATTTATACTTAGCTTACAAAATACAGAAGCCAGATGGAAATTCTTAAACTCAGTTAACTCACTGTTTGCAGAAAATATTTATAATATATGAGAATAAGGAAGAAGCTTAAGAAAAGAAATGTTTACGTCCTCTAAATAAGCCTTGGCTGAAAGTCTGGTTGTTAGTTGAGAAGGAGAAAAGAGAAGATACGATACAGCAAGGGGGAAATGATGTTCTGCATGAAAATGGTTAACTTCTTCATTTATGGAATCATAATCATATAAAGAAAATCATTAGCTTGCTTTTCATGTTAAACAAGGAGGTCTCTAAAATGCAGTATGGAAAGCTATGATGAGGAAAACAACAAGAGAAACAAATATATATAGTGACACCTTCTCTGACCTTAGTAACACATGTACATATGGTTCTTTAAACTGATCCTGTCTGGTAAGCCAAATTTTCTGCTTGCCTTAAGAATCTTGTAACCCTGTACTTTACAGTTCCTCTTAAACATAAGCCACAGACCCAATGAGACATCTGTTTATGCTGTGTAATCTAAGCATGTGATATATTATGGCTATATTAATAATCTCCTTCATCTGCAAACAGGTGTGGAGGTGGGTCCCCAGCCACAAGGTGTTGTTAGAGCTGATATTTTGGACAAAATGAGGAAGATTGTCAAACATGGCCTTGATTTTGTGCAACTTTTTAATGAAGGTAGAGTAAGTAACAAGAAAATACAGCCTCTGTATTGTACCAGTGCACTATTGCAGGAGAATACTTAAAAAAAAAAAAAAAAAAAAAAAAAGGTAAAAAAAGGTAGGCTACAATATTTTAAACAGGTAAAAAGGGGGAAGGATTGCTCTCCAGACCATCTGTATGGCCTCAGACAGTCAGTATTCCTGTATAGCTCCTCTGGGTAGCGTTAAGGCTATTTCCTCTTTCTGAAGATTCAGTAAGTTTACTTGATCTTAATCTTACAGATGCTTTGAGAATCTGAAATACCAGCTATTTGTACAGTGTGGACAAAGAGAACGTAGAGAAATTAATACTAAGAAAGGGGTTTAAATTTACACACCTTCTGTGCAATGTTACCTAAAATTAAAGTCAATAAATGCTGTAAGATTTTGTTCTACCTGTGTACCATGTAAAATACTGACAAAAATAGGTGTTTAAAATTGTTTCAGAGTAAATTTTGTCAGTGGGATTTTTTTGGAAGTAGAAGGGAATGAATATAATTGTGTGCATTAGAATCTCCATTACTGTGCTGGAATGGTAAAGATTAAACACCACTGATACCATTCTGTGTTGTACAACACTGCCAAACCCAGGCCTTTCATTGATTCCTTCATCTATAAATACATCTTTTTAAGGATACAGTGAAAAGTCACATTTCAGTAGCAAATTTAGATCTGGGCTTCATATGCTACAATACATGACTGGACCATCTTTCTGCAACTTGGCTTTGAGGGGACAAAGTCTGGAGCTGAACATTTTTATGATATATGAGCTAATCACCGGTGTAAACTCTGATGAGGTACAACCTAATGATTTGTGCCATTCTAAGAATAAATAATGCTTTGTTCTTTTTAACAGGCAGTTGTTCATTTTGGCATTAAATTATGTTTATTTTTTCTAGGAAAAGAATTTCCACCATGTACAATTGAGGTTTTTAAAATAATGGAGAAAGTAGATTATCCCAGGAATAAGAATGATGAAGTTATTGCTATTATTCACCCTAAACTGCAGGTAAATGCTAAAATAGTTTCAATTTGGGGTGGTTTTTTTATGTTTTATAAATATTCCTGTGTTGCTTCTGCTATGCTGTAGTACATTTCAGTGGTAAATATTCAAAGTGACAATATTACCGATGGGTTTATTGAAAAAACTTCAGACCTTTCCTATAGTAAGTTCTATCACTATGTTCATATGGTATTTCAGTCACTGGCCTGGGAATCACTGAGTCTAAAGTCACTTTTGAACCTAAAAGTGAAAAGAAAAAGACAGTAGGATGGCTTAAATTCTGAAATATAAATCTAATTTTAATTCAAAAATGAGTGTGTTTGATATCAATCGTGACCATGTGCAGTTTCCGTTTAATTCACCTTTACCAGTCAATGCTATACAAAACTGAAAACAGGGACAGACACCTGAAATTACATATTGAAGATTAAGAGGAATTCTTTTAAATGCTTTTGCTATAAACTGCAGAGAATATAATTAATGAGCATAAACTCAGAAATCACATGAAATACATGAAAATGTGAAGGTAAATTTATCCTACTTATTTTCTTTCTCTAAGGATCAAGATTGGCAGCCACTGAACAACGGTGATCCTCTATTTTTGACTCTTGATGGAGAAGTAATTGCATATAAAGAGAACTGTACGGTCTATCCAACATTTATTAATGAAGCTGCTTATTACGAAAAGAAACAAGCTTTTGTAAAAACAGTAAAAATTAAACTCACTGCAAAACACATCAGATCCTCAGCCTTAGACCAGAGCTGCTCTTAAAAACTCATCACAGATTTTCCATGCAAAAAGTAGATTTCCTCTGAGAAATCCAGTGTCAACCAATAGTCGTTGATGGAATAATAAATGCAGAATCTAATTTTAAATTGTAATTTAATTAACATTGCTGAGCACTTTCAAGATGAAACATACTGTCATAATGCTAATTATGACTACTGTTCACTTTTTCTCATAGAGCACTGTAGATGTAAAGAATAAGTATTTTTATGAAGTTCATTAGTTCACACACTGTATACTGGTGTATACACCATATACTGGTCAGTGGCTATAAAACTTACATCCAGCATCATATAGAAAGATGCTGATCCACAAAACTGTCTTATATAAAAAAAATTTACAGACGAGATGTTTTACAGCTTTATAACTTTACAGCTGTACCCACCTACTGATAACATTTGCCAAATCAAATTTTAATCAGCTGTTGTAACCCTAAAGTTTTCAGTGGAGGTGGCAAGATTAGGTAATTACTCAGGTTTTAATGAAGAGCAATGCACAAGTCATACCTGAGTATTTCAGAATGGAAACTGGGAAGAATTCCATATGGGAGACTTCTCAGAGTTTTGAGACTGATTTGATCTATAGTTGTAGAGAGAAAGCCTGGCATAGTAGCTGAAAAAGAGAAGAAAACCAGTATTTAATTACTTTCCTAAAGTTGTTTTTAACATAATTGGGGCTAGAGAAAACATCAAGAAATTTGCATAAGGATACAGTAATTGACTATTTACTGAAAGATTCATTGTCTAGATGACCCCCAAATTGTATCTTCCTTACTACTAAATTTAAAGTATTTTTTCCTTGCTTTGTGTAAGTCCTAAGGCAATAAAATAGAAACACAGGACAATGTTTTTTGAATTACAAGTTTAATTTAAATAAACATTGTATAAAAAGTACAGAATTATCTGCTTTAGTCATTATTCACAGGGTTCTTGATAACAGCCTGGAGATAGACTGTATGCAAGATCTGGCAGTGCTCTGTGGTCACAAAAGGAGGGTTTTTCCTCAGCAAACAACTTTTAGAGACGACCCCCAGCTTCTCCCTCAGTTTTGTCATAAAGTTTTGTACCTGGATATTTGCACAGCACAGTAACTTTTTTTGTGTCTTTCCTGTTTTACGGCTACACTTTCAGCATGACTTCAGTACAGTGCAGAGATACATCAACTTGTTTCCAGTGACAAGTCTACCCGTAGCAACGTGGAGCACAGCACAGGCTAGTTTATTCTGGTTCCTGAGTATATGTGAAGAGGTATTATTTTTTGGTACAAAAACTGGCACTCAAAAGAAACCAAACGGAACTGTGCAGTCATAAGGCAACTGATACTCTTTGTTGGCAGTTCCAATGCAAAATTAACCAGCAAAGATGAAAGATTCCAAGGCCATAGGAATTTTTCTTCTCGACCTCACATACCCTACTGAGAAGGCCAAACAGTGCTCAGATATTATATTGGTCTACTGATGTACGTAAGTGTCCTTCCTCTCAAACTCCTATGCCCTGTAAAAATGGAACTGAAGATTTCAATCTGATCCCATCCATCCAGGCCATACATGGCAGGAAACACAGGATGTGGCATCTTTAGACAACCAGTTGTGTAGCAAGAACCATGTTCACCATCCCTGCAAACAGCTTTGCACTATCCTTTCCACTGGAGAGTTCCCTCATGCTCTCTTCTGTGTTAAGAAAGTCTTTTGGGTCATTTTGCCCACAGGCTTAGCTGTAAGAATCCAATGCAATTCTTACTATGATTCAAACACAGAACAGAATTCACCCAAGTCTTACCTAAATAGCACCTTACCTAAATAGCACCTCTAAAACAGGCACTAAAAGAGTAGATATGATGAAAGCCCATGACACTGAAGACACAATGTATTAACTGAAATTTAAAAATACACCAAACAAATTTTTTATATATATATACATAAATTAGAAAACTAAAAACTAAACTAGGTCATCACAGGTAGTGAAATAAAAACTGCTACAGAAATGCATTACAGACCTCTAAATAAATAAAAAACAACAAAAAACCCCAAAACAATCCAAACCCCAAAACAATCCAAACCCCAAAACTTTAGAAGTCTGCAATTGCATTTAACTTATTTTGCTCATTTTGGGAAGAAATACTGACTTCTGTATTCAGCCACTTCAGGAAAACAAGAAATTAATTTACTTTTAACCCAGAAGAACTTCCAATATGATAACTTATTTTATGCAGCAAGACGCAACAACATGGAAAAGCCAAGTAGGAAAAGTAAAGACCTTGTGACTGAACAAACTCAGAAATATTCACCATCATGAATTCCATTTCTGCCCCATTATTTTATGGGAAGGCATATATACATGGTCATAAAAAGCAGTGAACACTACATTATACCCAAGGGGTTATACACAGGAAAATGGATCAGGCAAAGCTAATGAGACCTGAGAGGCCTTTCTCCAGCTTGTGGGATCAAGCCTCCAATAACACTGACAGTCAATATAAAAGCTTCAAATGTCTCCAGAACGTCATTATTCCAAAATAACATACTTCATTTAGTAGAGTTCAGAATTGAAATGCCTTTCTTTTCTCCACAAGAACTTAGCTTTTTTCTTTTAGGGTACAAGATGTTTCTCATGAGCTAGGGATTCCAAAATATAGTGGATTGGGATCATGATGATCTTAATTTTCCACAAAAGGAAGAAATATCTCACATTTGACCTTTTTTATCCAAGTAAACATCTAGAGCCAAGTCTGAGTAGTGTCAAACAAACTTGGACAGCAATGTTTCCAAGAGGCTCAAAACTGAACCAGTGAAATACTGTATTTGATTTTAGCTTAGCTGCCCTGATTAAATGTATTAAGGTCATCAGACCATGTCTCTAAAAAGTCTGTGTTCCAGCTAGTTACAGCTGTCCAAAATACCAACAAAGCTTTCAGCATCCACTGCTGATGCTTTTAACCTTCTGAATGACCAGATATCAAACACAGCACAACTAAACAGACGTTTCAGGCAAATCATCCATTTCTTCAAATGTATTCAGGGTGGTTTTGCTATTAGTTCTTGAATTATCTTGACTTTTGCTTGGATCTGCAAAAAAATGCATTGTAAACAAAACAGGATATGGTAGAAACTCTATCTGCAAGATCAAAGTTTTGCACATCTATTTTTTTTGTTAAAAAAAAATGCATTTATTTAAACAGCAAGTCATCAGTTTACTAGCATATCTTCTACAGAAGGCTTTCGGTCTGGCCTTTTCATTATTGCTGAGCTCATGCTACTAAGCAATATAAATGCTAATTGACTCAAGAAGAGCCTTCCAAACAAGCCTCCCAGATCCTGCTGCCAGAAGGACATCTGACACCTTGAAGTTAGGTCATTTCTCTATTACACTTCCAACACTGTCAGCAGATGGGCATCTTGAATTTCCTGGTCAACACTCACTATTTGTCAATCAGTATGTATCACAAAACATAAATATGAATGTTCTAGGGTTAAACCATCAGGCTATAGCATTGTTAAGTAGAAATCTTGCCAAATTTTGTAGTGCTATGTGCAACTATTTCAAAGACTAAATATACTTTATGACAACCTTTTGAAAATAATACTTTCTCTCTATTAAAAAGTTCTCTGGCCTTATCCCATTCAAATGCCATAACAGAATGTAAAATTTAGATCAAGCACAACTGTTTGGATTAAAATAAATAAAAGGCGAAACCACCATGTTTTGGTGCCTACATGTAAATAATGAGTTTGTAACTAAACCTCTCTCCAAATCTTTAAGCATAATTTAACACTCATGCCATGTTAGCTGTGAGCTTTCCTAGCAATAAAGTGCATTTGAATATCTATATTATAAGAGTTTCTATTTTTAAAGGCATAAAACTGTACCAAAGCATTTCTAAGGAAAAAAATCCCCAAACAAACCACAAACCCAAGTTTCACAACTATGGTGTTACAAAATTCTGCAGTACCTGCCGGCCCTGGATCTTCATTAATAAATGAAACATGTGTTTTCCACTCGGTCCATTTCACTTCATTAATCCTGTTTATATTGTATATAAGTTGTGTTATTAGCATGCATTATCACCCAGCTACGAAGATACACTTCCCCTTTATTTCTTTATTCCTTCTTGGAATTGTTCTTGACTATCAACACTAGCTTTGCTAGTACTAAAAGGCTGAATGACTTTTGCAGTGCTATGTACTATATGAAGATGAGAATACTACCAAGACTGCTTTGTAGTTTCACACATTATAAGCACAGTCTTGAAACTCACCTTAAATATTTAAGTATTTTTCATAAACCAGCATAGTAATACATTCTTTAATATGGTAATCATCAGTTAGCAACCAATTTAAATATAATAATTTTTAAGTGAACATTCAAAGGAGATGACAGTGACATTTACTGCAAGCAGACTTGATGTTTGTACATTAAAAAGATAGGAGGTTGAAAATCTGTTTTCTTAACCAAAAATTGTCTACAAAAAAAAAAAAAAAAACCAAAGAAAAAACCCAACAAACCCAGAGCACTTTCCCTTTGTTGAAACAATCAGTCAAAAGAAAAAGAAATTTTCACAAATGAAAAAGAGGAAAAACAGATCGGGTTTTTGTACACCTGGGATAATTGGTAGAGATGTAGAAGTATTTTAAAGAGGCTTTTGAGGAGAAATAACCTTGAAGAAACATACAGAGCAGAACTGATAGCACAGTATTCTAGTTTTGCTTTACCTTAAACACACCCTGCTGTCATTTTCAGCCACTTTACATCGTTCTCCCAGTTGGAATTTTTTCCTCAAACGTTTTGGTAAGAATTTTTCAAATTCCAAAATAGTTCTGGCTCTCTATTAACAATAAATATTAATATTAATGTGGTTAACCATATTCAAAATTGACTGATTTCATAGCATATACAGTTTTCAGACTCCATGTTTCATTATACCATTTCATGCCACCATCCAATACTGATTCCAACTTCAAATAATATGGAATGCCACTTACTGTTTGGCATGCACAAACAGGCAATCCACAGTTAGTTCCACTGAAGAAGGCATACTCAGAGAAGAATCAAGAAATCTCACTCTAAACTTGGTGTTTAGGGTTTAATGCCAACACACCTTCATGCAACACCCTGCCATAGGAATATATACAACCTGTAGTGGATATATACAACCTTTGTGCCACCCACCACAAAGCAACTCCAGTCCTAAATATGACTGTTCTCCATGACAGCCCGGGGACTCAGAAATGTCTAATCTTGATAAAAAGACCAGGCTGGGATAAGGTATGAGGAACTGGAATGAACTCATGCATTGCTCAGACTCAAGGGCCAGAAGAGCAGAGCATGCTGTGTTACAGATCTCTGGGCAGATAACAGAACACACATTCCTAGTGATGTATCAAGGGGAATGGAAGTCATAAAGGTATGTGAGTGCATGAGGTTGAAAATCTGAGCCATAAGATTATCTTTTAAGATAGTTAATTCAAAAGTTACTACGATACCCTGATTATTTCCATTATTTGTATACATACAGATGGGATTATCAGTGTTTACTTCACCCATTCTGCGAGTTACCATAGGTACAGCTCAAAAGATTTTAGCCCATAAATCTGTACTTTCCTAAGCAAACTCACTCACAAACCTGAAGCTTCCAGATGTGCTCACTCTCTTTAGAAATATCTTCCACTGTTTCTCCCATTAACGCAATCAGCATGTTCAAGAGAAGAACAAAAGTCAACACAACGTAAGTTATAAGAAGCAGAAGAAATAGTACAGGATACTTTGAATTTTGCTGGATCTCCAGATCACCCAGTCCTAGGGTGAGCTTGAAAAGATCCATCAGAACAGGTCCCAGACTGCTGTTGGAATGGCATTCACTGCCATCTTGGCAAGTTTCAATCAATGCAGCAAGAGCTAAGAAGAAAGCAGGAGAAGATTTTAATCACAATAATGTTTTATGTATACATGGCATTTTATCCTAAAGAATTCAAAATGCATTGCATAATAAAGAGCTAGGGCTGCCCAGCAACATACACAGCAGCAGCTAGAAAACAGATTACCAGGAAGCAGAAAGAGCCCACGTCCAAATGAAGCTGCAGGCAACTAAGAAAGAGATAAATTACTTATCTGTTCAGATAGTCTCTAGACAGTTTAAATCAATAAAGTTGGCTTTTTAATATCCAGAAGAAACCCCAACATGAGCTCTCATCATGACAATAGGGTTCTTATTCATAATAATGCTAAAATTTTTACTCACACAGAGCATCAGTGCTTTTCTCCAGTAATATTTACCTACGCCAAATCCCAGCAAAAACACGATATAGACAACTAAAAATTTTATCACATCATGCAGGATGACCTAAAAATTAAATTAAATATTGATCAGAAATGAAAACTGAGTACTATTACACTTATTAATTCTGCCAGTGTCATAGACAATAAGGCATTAGATTGCTTTCAGTTAAGCAAAGCAGCCGTTGCCTCAGTGAGAAACCCAGAAAAGATTTAGGTCTGATTTTTTTTATCTCATGACTGAGCCAGGTGTGTTGTCCAAGGGTAACTAACTCTGTACAATGTTGGCATTACAGCATATGACGCTATTAATTAGAACTACATTAGCTGAAAAACCCACAAGTTACATCTGTATTTAACATAATGTTAAGATATAAACTAGTTTCTGCCATTGAAGTTATACAGTGTATTCTGTTGAAATAATGTATATAAACTATGACATTTCAATAGCAACTATAAAATACATCTAAATTGCTGAATAGGCTGGATTGGGATTGTAACATACCAAGTAAGCATCATAACAAGATAGGTAAAAGAAAAGAAAACAAACTTGCCTTTTGAATCATAACACTGTAAATGCCCATGGACTGGAAACCTCTGGTGAAATAGAGCATATTAGCCCATCCCAGGGCCATTGCCAAAACAAGACACACGAGGTGTTCTTTGTAGGAAAACAAGTACAAAAAGACAGAGAAGATCACAAGCAAAGCTTGTATAAAACTGTTAAAAAACAAAAACATGTATGTAAAAGGGACATTACTAGCACAAAACCAACAACATAATGGAAAAATATGACAAGACTTTTCTCCTTATGCTTCTTCATTTCTAATTTCATCCTGAATTCTATTATCCCCATCAACATTACCTTTATAGTTTAACACCACAGATACTATGAGTACAGGTAGTATATTAACATATTAGAATTACATTTATTAAAGATTACTTTTAAGTGAACTATTCTCCCAAAAATAGCTGGTCAGTGTAGATTTTGCTGACAAAGACATTAAGAATTCTTAATAGTATTTTTGAAGCCATTTAATTCAAGCTTTAGATTAACATTGTTAGAATCATTACAGATTTTCTGTGAACAAGGAAGACACTTGTAGGTGTGGTATGCTGTGATAGGATATAGGCCGAACTCTCAGCAGCACAAGTATCAGTGTGGTTGTAGGAGGAGGAAGAAAGGTTAAGCCACCTCTTCTTATTGATCCTACAATCACATGCTAGAAATGAGAGGGAATCATCTGTGCTTTATCTAGGCCACTGATGGAATACTCCCATCAGTCAGATGAAACCAGACTTATGCTATTTTCCCTTCCTGAAGGAATTGAAAGGAGCATGAAATGGTATCTGGTTAATTAACCAGGTTTCTTAAACATATTTCTCTATATAGAGCTCTAAAGAGATACAGGAGAGGCTAAAAGTACTATACTTCGGGAAAGAAATCCAGTCCGTACACATCAGCCCTCAGTATTGTTACTGACACATACAACCATTAGTGCATATTGCAGAAAACCTGCTGGTAAGATTACATACATCTCTCTAAAAACTGATAATCTAGAGAAAAAGCATCTGCTACTTTCTCTGCAACCAAGAGACAGCATTTTATAGATAGTATAAAATATGTGCATGACAGACTTACAACGCAAAGTGGAACCAGGCATCAGAGAGAATTGACTGTAGGTCTGAAGGCCTAAGCAGAAATATGGCTACACTCTGTGTAGACAGATATATAAAATACAGAAGCAGCAGTAAGAGAAAGCAGGCCTCAAAATTGAGTTTTCAAAATAATTTAAGGTAGTGTTCTAAAAAAATCAGCCTACTGATAAAGACATGAAATCTTCCCAAATTAAAAACCTTTTTATGGGGCTGTATCTTCAAAGTTTACATTTCTGTCATCTCTGGCATAATTTGGCTGGTAGCTACTGGATTTAATTACTTACAGTATATGGCAAAAATTATATTCTGGGTTTTTTTCCCCTCATTACAAGTTCTAATTCACCAGCGTCCTTAACGTCAGTAATTTGAGAACATCAATGCTATACAAATATCTGATCTCTGTTTTGAGAGCTTGGAAAGCAAAATCCCTCATATTTGTTTCACAGAGCAACAAAGTTATTCAAATATATAACCAGGGTCATTCTGTGTAAGCAATGTATTGTGCCAGAGACTTTTAGAAATTACACATAAGCATATTCCAAATGTATTGCCAATATCATCAGGAGTATAGCATATTCATAAACCTAGAGAAGTTTTTCACCTATTTTGCTATAGGTCTTACCTCTTTTATGGCTAAAAATATTGCTCCTAACATAACCATCACCTGTCCCGATAACTGCAGCCATCCCACACCACGTGTTAAAGCTAGTGGGTAAGGTGGAGCCTGCAAGAGAAGTCCAGAATGAAAGACTAAGTTCTAAACCTGAAAGGTAAAAGGCAAAGTAACAGGAAGCCTCACATACGTAGCTCTCTGGGTACACAATTTCTTCCCTTTCAGTGAGAATTTTCTTCACAGTAGATTTACAGAATCAGCCCCCTATCATATACTACCTGAAACAGCAGAATTATCTTTCTTAAAAGAAAAAACAAAATACCCTTTTAGAAACTTAACTGCCTGTCTTTGTATTATGCATTTGTATTTAGGGTTACTTTCACAAAACGAAAATGCAATTATCTCCTCTGTTCTGATCTTCCTCCTGGATGCAAAGAGCTTATGTGATAGAACCTGGTCTCGCTACAGCCAGATATTTGGATATCTGCTTTTGGTTTATTCAGCATTTTAAATATAATTCAGGAAATACCACTGTATTTTAAAATCAGTAAAATTTGGTGAGATTAAGTATCTGTCACTACTAGCTACTCACTTCATTTTCATTAGGCCTGTGGTAGGAAACCAACGTTAATGTTACATTGTATAGGAAATAAAACCAGCATGACATAAAGAACATGTGCCGTGCGAACTTCTTCCATTTCATTCGCAGGAGTGAATTCAGAGGCTCCAAAGTCAGCATTTCATGACGGTTCTGTAGGAAAAAACCCAACCAACCAATTAAGATTTGAACTTGCTGCCTCTAAGGAAACTGAGACAATTTCAGTCATGTATTTTATGTATTTCAATCAGTACCTGTCCTTGCAGATACAGAAACACATCTAAGCTCAAAGATATATGTCAGACTCTATCCTGACGAGATACAGTGGGACAATTCCAACTCATGCTGGGATAACCTGTCCCACTCTAGAAAATGATTGAGCTAAAACTGTAATGTGAACTTCTGGTCTTGCTTCCTACAGAAGTTTAAGGACAGTATTTGAACTTAACAATTGTAAAATTCCGGCTTTGAAAAGCTAACATTCCTAAATGCCTAAAATACATACCTGCTGAGTAAAGTTTATAACTTTAGACAGAGTATTCTCATAAAGTATTTCTGTTTGCTTGCCCTATTCTCATGCAGTATCTTAGACAGCTGCTAGCAGCCACACCATGACAAGACAACACTAGCTTTAGTCTGACCAGCTGGGCCATATGTATGTTCCTATGCAAGGCAAATTAATGCTTCAAATGTAGAAAAAAATATCACTCCCCAAATGCCTAGCCCATGTGTTTCAGGAGCTGAATGCATATTTGCTTACAGCTGACAATCCACAGAGGTATAAAATTCATCTTTCTCTCAATATAAAAACTGAGAACCAACAATTACTGTTTACTCTTTTATAAGTAATTCAGTCAAATATATAGGCTAAGACATCTGGAATGAGTGCACTGTTAGAAAATAGATAGACATTTTAGAAATGGGTAACTTACACCAATATTTGTATTATAGACTATAATTTCCAATACTGAATTGTCTGCAGTGGTATCTAGTTCTGTCAGATCATAAAGAGAAGATTGAACAGGACCATAAGCCCAATCTGTGAATTTTCTTGACAGGCTCCTGTTAGGCTTATCTCTTATTTCTCTGCTCAGGATGTATTTCAGAATCTAAAACATTAACAGAATCATCTGTAAGCAGATGTGTTATTCACAGGAAAGGAGAAAGCACACACGCATACTTGCCAAAACCCCCACCTTTTAACTAGCGCATTTTCTAGAGCAGTGCAATTTAACATATTTCTAATTCTGTTATTCAGCAAGTGGTGTTAGAAATGACAGACCTCTAGGAAATTAATATAGTATTTTTAATGCCTCCAGATTTTCTCTCAGAAAATCATTTTCACATTTTCCTAAAGGGTGAAAGCACAATTTTCCATGTGTTCACATTTATATCTTCTTTTAACTCAATTACTTCATAAATCATCCCATTGTGAATTCATTAGCACAATAGAGTTGATCTACAAGAGCCTAATTCTACAGCAGCATAACAGCAGTTCTAGCAAGTTTTCTGAAATCACTCAAAGACTATATAAGTGTAGTGTAGTAAAATAAGTGCAGAATTTCTGAGTTTCTGGACAACACGAGGATTTGCAGGACTCTCTATACAGCACGTGCATTTTGTACAGAAAGGGATTGTTAGAGGGAAACCTTGAAGGGTAGGAGCAACAGTGCAATAGAAAGATTTGCTTGTATTTTGAACAAAATTAGCTCTCCAAATACTACAGATATATCATACAGTGTAATCAGCATGGAAAACTACATGTCAGAGCACTAGTGTCTGAGTATAGTTGACTCTTTTCTCATACTTTATTTCTCTTAAATGCTACTGAGATAATACCCACCTCTAATTTCCCAGTTTTTGCAGCTAACTGTAGTGGTGTCAAACCCTCCTTATTCCTTGTTGTTTCCAAATTTCTGTCTTTACTTTTCAATAAAATCATATCATACATTCTGATTACAAAGTCATTCTGGGTTTTAAAGTCCTCTGCCACAGTTACTAATGCATGGAGGATATTGTTTCCTCTGGAATCCTGAGAAGTAATATTAGTCCTGGTATTGTCCATTAGCAGCTGAATTATGTCTGGTTGATTGGTACATGCAGCTAATGCCAGTGCAGTTTCACCTACAAAATTATAAAATGCAAGATGTGTTCATATTTTATTTCAGGCATTCAAATAATATTATAAAAGAGTGACTGTGCTAAGCATCTTAATATATGCAAGTACGTTTACATATTGATTGTATTGAGTTTAGCTCTTGTTTTGTAAAAGCTTAATTTGCATGAAACGTTATTTGGATACAATCTTCAGAATCAAAGGTGTTACATTTTATTTGCCATTCAGCATTTATAATTTTTTGGTAAGTGTTTTACAAATATTTCTGAGTGTTTGTAATACATCACACTGGCAAGTTTACAAAAGGTGCTATGTCACTTTTATATCTCGTGATGCAAGTTCCCTAATCTAGATTTAGCTACGGTAATGATTCACACTTGCGTATGTTCCACACCGTCTTAATTGTTTGGGTATTCCTTCCTAACTTTTCCAGAGGTATTGCATTTCCACTTACCAAAATAAAAGCCTTCATGCTTATGTTTGGGATTAAAGAAAATACCCTGGGCATAAGCATTGACATCAGCTCCTTTTTCTATAAGGCTCTGAGTTATTTCATATTGTCTTCTTTCAATGGCAATATTTAGAGCTGTCTGGCCTGAAACAACAAACACGGGTATTTAGTATTCAATCTCTTAAGAACATTATGAAATATTAATGATGTTTCACAATGGATAGCACCAGTGATAGTGAATTAAAAGTTGTTTTAGGAATTTAAACCATAATTAGAATGCTTGAAGTAAACATTACTTTATGGATGGTACATTTAACCATATACCTGAAACTGGTATCAGATGGCAATACCTTTATATGCCTCTTCTGTGTATGCTGCATTGATAAATCTCTCCAAAATACCATTTTCTTCTGCAAAGGATAGTAGCATATTCACTATCTCATTTGTGTTTTGATTGATGTTCAGCAGAGCTTTCATCAGACAAGTTTTGCCAGTATCTGAAGCTGTGAATTTTTTCATCAGATAATCTACAAGAGTGAATTTTGAGATTATTTAAAGTGGATGGAAAATAATTCTAATCTTACGTTTATTAGTGGTGAGACGTGATGGATATATGAGAACATAAATTATTTGCCAAACCATTACTCCATCCTATTCACTTTGTATTCGAGCTATGTATACTTCGTGGCATGATGCAGTCTAAGACGTGATACTAATTACTAAGGCAGCCAACACACTTGGATTTTATTTCAGACATCCCACTGCCATGCTAACTCCAGCCAGACCCAGAACTCTAAGTTCTCTGCTGGTTCAGCCATGCTGACACATTGCATGCCCTGTCTATACTGCAGTTTGGATAGAGACATCAGCTTTGAGTCTCATGCTGCAAAAGACTAGCTGTGGTATGGCTGTGGGTATACAGTACAGATAGATCCTCTGTGTATTGTAAGAAGGAGATAAATACTCCCCACTTTTGCCTCAGATGCAGCAAGGGGTGGCTGACTGAATATCTTAAGCTTTCATTTTGAAATAGGAAATGTGACATATGTCTTAGGCTCCACACATGCCGACAGAAGAACTAACAACCTTCTCCAGGTAACTCCACAGCTCACCTGGCACAGTCATGTTCATACAGGCATTTGATCGTTCCTTCAGCTCGGCGAGCAGACATCGCAATTCTTCGATATTCCCCTCAGATACTGCCCGAAATATGTATTTTTTCAACTTCTTCCGGGCACTGGTCTGCTCAGGTCCTTGTGATATGTTAGCACTGAATTATAAGAAATAATAATTAAATTGATGATTCAATTTACTGTGTTTTATTCTCATTTCTACATAAGAGGAAAAAGAAATACAATTACTTGCCCCAGACTACATAAATTTGCCCTGCTTCCATATATATCTTGGCACAGAACTCAGAAGGTTTCTGCAGATTGCTTATTTGCAGATATGTGGCTATTGAGAGGGGCTTTATAACAAGAATATACATTTGTCAAGTACTTTGTTCTGCATCTTTTCCCAGTTTATCCATTCTTCTAAAACAAAGGCTAAGAAATACTTCTCTGCTTCTTTGATCCATCCACTCCACTGACTCATTGGCTGATGCTGCACCCCAGCTGCACCCACTCCACTCACAGCAGATAGATAGTTTTTAACTCCACATCTTCTTAAACAACTTTCCTGATGACACATTATTCTGGAATAAGTGTGATTTAATATTTTTCCCCCAATCAGAAATACTCCTAGCTCATGCCTAGTTGTATTTGGTGTTTACGCCCTATGTTGTCGTCTAGGAATCTGACATTATATATGAAGAATCCTCACACTATATATGAGATTTGAGACAAGCAGAGGTTAGAGTCGTTGTTTTCAAAATTTAATTATTGAAGAATCAGAAATGCATGCACACACGACCTTACTTATAAAGCATGACAGGCAAAATAGGTAATATCTGCCCTATCATAGGCTTAATCTACTGAAAATGTACTAAGAAAATACTTCATGTCTCCACTCACCAACAGCTGTCTACATTAGGACTATATTCAGTTGCATCATCCTGAAGAGATTGTGGAGAATCCATATCTTCCCCATTTCCAGATGCACTATAGAAAACAGAAAAACAAGCGTCAAGTTAGGAAGACATTGGAACACATTTTGGCAAATTGCATGAAGAATCAGCCAATACCAGAAAGCAGAATCTACAGTAAACCTGAAATCAGTCTAATTTGTGCTTCAAAATTATATCATTTCATCTCCCGTGTGAATTTTGAAGTGAGTGATAAAAATGAAGACGCCCCCAGGATTTTATTGTATTTTAGGAAAGCAACCCTGGCTTGTGCTTTACTGTGTTATTTCACTACAGATTCTGAAACTCTGGGAAGTTTTTTTTTCTTTTGTTTTTTTTAAAAATGATCATTACTTTTTAATGTATCATCCTACATGCTTGACGCTTTCCTTTTTACGTGCTTAATTTGTCACCTGCCATGAACCAAGTGCTAAATAGTGCATGGGTTGCAAGCACACAATGAAAGTGATTTACCTGAAGATTTACTATGCAGTACACTGTAGGCAACTCAAGACCATTTTGCAGGTGACGTGAATGGAAACTTCAGCTAAAAAATTGAGGACTAGGCCCTAAATACATATTCAGATAATAAAGGATTTCAGTGGCATTTGTATTTTGTAATTGCTGTACATGATTTCCAGACATCCCTAAAAGAAGACCTGACTTAAAAATTAATTTATTAGAATATTCCTTACTTGTATTTTTGTTTTCTATAGGGTTTAGATTTGATGAACTACCTCAGGTTAATAACTTAGGGAGCCTGAACTATTAGTTATTGACAAGAGAGATGTATGGATATTAACACAAGGACTCAGCATTGCTCTGCAGATACTCCCTTCCCTTTGAAATAAAGCTGGTAGCTCAGAGTCAATTCTTATTCAGTCTATCACTTCTCTGCAAGAAAACTGTGAGGAATCTGGTGACAAAACGTATGTGTGTCTTGTGCAGGTCTGTGTCTGAACGAGAGGAAGAAACCTGTGTACCTCTCCTCTGAAATCAAAATAAGACTGTCAGCTAATTCCAAAGAGCTAACCAGACATCCATCAGACACACAAACATTTGGCCATTCTGGGCTTATGCCATATTTGATGCATATTTCCCTTATTCATAATTATTGGTTGTTAGTATCCCATATTTTATAACATTACGTGCATTCTTCCCAGTCATCATTTTTATCTATTCATTCATCATAAATGGCTGCCTTTAAATATCTCAAACTCAGCATCTTCAGGTTGTTTGATTGTTAATGAGCAACAGTGAGAAGACGTCAGCACACAGCTGGGAATAGCGTTTGCTAAACTAAGCTGTGGTCTTCATGCAGTAGAAAATACACAAATGGGTGCGTGGAGTTCAACCTTATATATCATAAATAAGGTTAAGATAAAAAAAAAGACTAATAATTTTAAATTTATTCAAATCTGAGGCCTGATTTATTAAGTGTAAATGTCAGCAGCAGATAAACTCAAAGATAAATCATCTAGCAACAACTGACCTCCAGAACTCCAGAACTTGAGTCTCTGAAGTGACCAAAAGCTAAAAAAATGAAATTTTAGCTCTGAAGTCTAAGGAGAAAAAAAGAATAGCTGCTGAAAAGAAAATAGATACAAGTGCAGTATGACTATTGCATATGCATCTATTACTTACCATGGACGAATATTTGAATCCATTGGTTTTGAAAACACAGGAGGAGATGTATTATTTGGAGTTGCATTGCTTTCAAAACCATCAATCTCCAGAAAAAAATGTGAACTGTAGAACAGAATGTATTTAAGAAAATATTAGTAAAGAAAGCGAGCTCAGTTTATATTTTCTGGCATTATACCTAATAAGACACTGGAACAGAGGTTTATCTATTTTCCCTCAGGGGAATCCCAACCTCCCAGGCTGTGCCCAGCACTTTCATGCTGGCAGATGGGCAAAAGATCCCAAGATATTTTTAGAACACATGGCATCAGATCCTGACATGTCTAAGCAGTTACCCCAGCAGCCTTAAAACAGCTTTGCATCCAACTTCTGCGCAAACCAGGTATTTCTTGAACAGCTACACAAATGCTTTTTAATCTACTGCATTTTAGTTCCTGTTACTCCAGGCAGGAGCCATCAGGACGGAGCATTTCAAATCCATCAGCAGTGATAATCATTAAGTCAGAAAGTTTGAAAGGTCACATATTAAATGACATCAGGCATTTCCAGAATCCAGGACTGAATGTGTAATCCTGCCAGTCAGTGCATGATATTTAACTATTTATAGGAAGTATCTTTATTCATGCTGGAAATAAATTAAACTTTAAACAACACAGAAAAGGGAACACAAGAAGAATAGGAAGATTTCACCCTTTAAAAGCCTGAAGAGTTGAGAGGCAAAATCAATGGCTTGGTATTACCAGATTTCATTAAAACATGGGTAAATTAACCACAGACAGGAGTTTCAGTGGTGGATGTAGCACCTCCCACAGACCCTATTGTTCAGAAAAGTCTTACATTTCTAAAGTGTTCCAGTAGTACCCTGGAAAATGTTCACCTAATATTTATGGTTCAGTCCATAGGGTATTTTTTTTTACCTGCATCTTTCCCAAAGAATCCCACTGAATTAAAGGATACATACTGATGCTAAAATGTAGTATATTATTAGGACACTACTGAACAACCTGTTGAGATCATACTTTTTTAAGTAGATACAATGGCCCTAGTTCATTTCATTTTCCAATGGCTTGGTGATCCAAGTGTTAATTCACTGTGTGTAGTTGTTTAAACTTATGACTTTTTAACATTTGAGATGTGCCTGTGAATGTATTCTAAGCAGGCAGCAAGTAAAATGCAGCTTCTGGTTAGCAGGACTGTCGCCCTGAAACTACCTAGGCAAGGGGTGCTTTTAAGAGCACAGGAAAAACCTAGACAGAAGCAGGACCACTGCCATCCCTTATGCCAAATCACTGTTGTTTCACTGGGGTCTGGATCTGGCAGACACTTAAGGAGGAGTGAAAAAAAACATGGTTTCATCCTGCTTTTTTGCATTCCCTGACCATGAAGTGCAAGAGCTGTCCCAACAGGCAAACATCTGTTGGAAGCTGCAGTGAACCTCCATAAAGCCAAAAGTGCCAAGCTCTAGGCTTTGCTGGACCATCTCACCTGCCCTTGGCTCAGCACCAGGAGGGTATCATGTGCTGATGTCTGAGAGCAGCTCCTGCTCTCCCAACAGTGTGCTTGTGCTGAAGATTTTGCCATCCAGAAGATGAACAGCAGCTGTGATGTGGGCCCAGTCTTGAAGGCTGTCATACCTACCCTATCCTGGCACATGGGTTATCTGGAGATACCATGGGGGTTAAAAAAAAAAAGCAACAAAGCCACTGTGCAAAGTAGGTGGTCAGTTGCCAACAAATACCAAAGTGCTTACGTGGCCATGGTGCACACTCTCAGGAACACTGCCCACAGTCAGGCTCTGACAACATTGGCAGCACTCCTCCCAGCCTGCCTGTTGGTTTTCCTGTACTTAATTACATAGTTAGTCCACCCAAATACCCGAGCCTTCAAGAAGGGGAAGTTACTGTCTTCTGAGAAAGTGCATATTGGCAATACAATTTTTCATGTGAAAAATGCCACCCATGGAAGTGTAGTAGCTGCTTAGTGGCACAGTAGAAGGAAGCATTTTGAGGCAACAGAAGTACAGCAGCAGAGAAACATATAATTAATAGAACACGTTAAACCTCTGCATTAAAATTCACGTGATCTTCATTCCTTATATTACAGGAATGTTGTGGGCCACACCCTGAGCTCTTGGTTGAGAGATGGGAAAAACCCCCAAGGTTACTGTTACTGATGCCACAAAACTCAATGTAAGATATAAGCTTCAGTAATTGAGGGGTAGTGTTTGCCAGTATTTGTTAGAACTAAACAATCTTCCATGGAGTCGCCCCCTTTTTGAAGTACTGGGTATATTGTGAGCTGCTCAGACACCTCACCTCCCTTTTATACAACCAAAGAGCTTCTCTATTTGAATTTAATGACAGAAAGACAAATTAGGCCACCCAGGCAGGGGGTCTCATATAACTAATGACACCATTTCTGTGGAAAGTGATTCCTCTGATTATTAAGAATTATAAATGTCAGAACAGCCACAATTGCCTAGGCCTTCAGAGTTTCAAAAAGTGCCACAATAGCTAGTAATTAGCCACAGAGTGAAAAGCTTATGAATGAAAATTCATCCTCACTCTACAGTAACCTAGTTGACTTCAATTCAACAGTATCAGGGACAAATTACTGTTTATACCTCCCCATTCATATTAAATACAAACTCTTAATCCTTTTATTAATTCTTTAGCATAACTACTGAATAAAAGTGAGTATTTTAGAAAATAAAATGAAGAAGTCCTGTTAATCAGAATAATGAAAAATAGAGTGAATTCAGGTTTTTCTTTGTGACAGGATTTTTCAAGCCTCCTAGTCTCCCAACTCTCATTTTTTAATTCACCTCTTCCTCTCCATACTCTGACACATTTCCATGTGAGGCTAGGTTTGAAATGCTCCCTTTTTCAGGCCAGCACCTCTTATATAAAACCTGGTTCACACCATTTGATCATTCTACTCTCTCCTACTGAAACACTTACCATAATTAGACCAGATTCTTTAAGCTTATACAGGTATATAGAGTGGATGCCAAAAGCTCAGCTGATATAAGACACTAACTTAAAAGACTGGTGCATGAGCCCGATGTTTCTAGGATAGGGGTTAAATATTTGTCTCATTAGGATAAAAACATCCTATGTTTGCCTCACCAGGATACTTTTCCACTTCTAAACAGCGCAAGCATATGAATTTTTGTAGGTACCTTGTGTTCATCAGGTGTCTCATTCATACATACAGCATGAATAAAGACGTTAGTGGTATTTCAGTGCAAATATCTACTAAAGGAGATAAAACAGGGAGTTTTAATGGTTTAGACTGAGCTAGTCTTACCTTTTCTTTGTGGGAGTGCTTTCAGTTGGCTTTTTCTCTTGCTGGTTTGAAGGGGGAATACCAGATGGATTTGTTTTCTTGCCCATTAGTGGAATAATTTCGTTGTTATCTTTAATCATGTTTCTGCAGTAGATAAATTCACTTAAGTCCTGTTCATTTAAAGAAAGCACCAAAAGAAAGACCAGATTGCCTATTTACAGTCTCTTCAAATGTAAGCATACAAATCTTGATTTCCACCACCCCCCACCACCAAGGTTTTCATTTTTCACATTATTAAGCACATACACACCATTTTGTATCAAGGGTGGAGGGTTATATTCATCACTTCACTAAACTACAAGAAAAGTGCCATTAAAAGTGATACCATAAATCCAGGAAAACCATACATTCAACCACATGCCTAAATTAAACTGAAGAGAGTCTGTCAATCGCAATGATAGTATATGTCACTTGGAGAAACAAAAAGAGCACAGTGACTTTTATAAGCAGCCCTGAAGTTGGTACATGTTTACGTGTAATCTAAGTAGTCTTCTCTTATCCAAGAAAACTTCAGAGAAGTGGTAAATTCTAGGAAGATCAATGCAACAGGTACAATGCACGGAGGAAGGTTCCAGATGTGAAGGGTAATGAACACAGAAAAAGCCCTAAAGCTAATCACTGCATTAGAACAGCAGAAGCAACATTGTATTCTCTGAATACCATGCCTAGGCTGAGCTATACAGTCACATAGATCAAGGACTTGTGTCCTGCTGACATTTCTCTGCTTTTATTCAGGGAAAAAAAATAAAATTCATGACTACTGGGTGGGAACGATCACCACCACATGGCACAGAAGGATCTTAATGCATGTTACCTGCTTATAAACATCTACAAGATGAATTCTGTAAGTAATAATGAGTAACTATTTTCCTGTTTTTCAATATAATACTCAAGAATATCGTTTTGAATCACCAAGGATAATTTGAAAGTGACAAGGTGAATTCAGGATACTTTTAAGATTCTTTGAATATAAGAATAGTAAGTTTTACAAGGTCACAGACCCATGCCCAATGAAATTAGGGGAGTGCTCTCCATACCCAAGGATAAATGATAAAAATCACTTGCCTGCAAGTTTGAACAAAATGAACACCTATTTTTCTTCTCCTACCTCCACTTTCCCTAATGTGACAAATGTACACACATACTTTTTACCCTTGTGAGTCTCACTGTGCCTTGGCACTAGAATTTCTTCATTATGATAATATCAAGATATAGAAAGCAGATTGTGAAGCATGTTTGAAAGACATGGTACTTGGTATGAAAGGGGAGACAGGCATACCAAATACATTGAGACTTGAGTGAAAATCTATTAATGCATACCCAGCAAATGTTTAAGTATGGAAAGCTTTCGATCCCAGGCACAGAGAACAGAATTTACAGGGCCCAAACACTTGTAGGTGCAGCTGTAATTTCTTGTCACTGAATGGAATAAAAATCTGAAATATTGGGAAGTACTCTTCACCTTGAAAAAGTTGGCTTAAACAGGCATGAAAAGGAATTCTTACTGTGTTCTCTACCATTGGTAGATATGTTCACATTAGTGCAACTCAAATTTGTGTAGTTTGGATGCATTTCCTAAGAATTCGTATCACAACTTTAATAGGAATAATTTATAAAGGGCAAATATGATTTACTTGGTACACTTGCATACATAACACACCATACCTTTCCCTGCAGTAAATGCACAAAAGAACTGAACTTGGATATTATATATCTGAGGCATGAAAAAATGGTTTATCTATGCCTTTGAACATGCAATTCATGTAGTCTTCAGATGCATGTTGTATCAGTGAATACACTGATAAACATTTAATCTTAACATAGCTTAAACAAATGACTGTTGTCTTGCTTAGTTTATAAATAATTCTGCTGTTCATTTCTTACCAAGTACTTTAAGAACGCACAGCAGTTTATGAGCAAAGACATTTCCCATCCAGAGGAAGAGACCAATGTGTCTTGCCATCTACTTGATATAAATCAAATGTAAGTGGACTAGAATAAGATGGAGCTGGGCATTAAATAGCTTCACAAAAGAAGTTACTTTAAAAGGAAGAGAACAGTTACAAACAGACTAATAGGTCAAAAAATGCATTAGCAAAAGTAGTTGCCAAGTTGAGAAGAGCACAGCAGGTAGGTGTGTGAAGTTGGAGGGGTCAAAGAACAATAGGAAGAGTTGGCAAAATTAAGACCAAGTTTAAAATCTCTGAAGCACATAATGGCCACAGGGAAGAGTTTCTCATTTGTGAGCAATGCTGGAGCTGCTCAGATACAGCAACACATTTCTGTGTGGGCCATCTGCAGCCAGTTGTCACCACAGAGATTTTAGCACTGGCTTCAGAGCAGGCTACATAGTTTAGGAGAGGTGAAAATAGTCAAAGATAGTATTGAAGTTACATAGGACGACAAAGGACTATTAAACCACCAGTGATGAAAGTAAACAATTTGGGAAGGAAAAAGAGGGAAGATTTACTTCTGCGTATATGGACTGCAACTTTCAAGTGCGCATAGAGTTGACTGTGATCTCAGTTACAAGGACTATTTTAGATGAGATCTTGTAGGCTGCACAAGTAAATAGCTGCAGGCACAACAGTCGAAGTTCCTTGCTACAGTGCTGAGGTAGCGTCTGTTTCTCACTTTTAATCACGATTAATTGTATGCTTACATGAAAACTTAGCAAGGGCTTTCATTGTCATCTTCCAGTGCACTATCATTTTCCTAATATATGACATATAGAGAAATAGTACAACAGTCTGAAGAATGTCAAATTATAAGTAGTGTAGCTTATGTAACCTGATATGGAGTGTCTTCTATTGTAACCATTTTCTACTCACATTATTAGTTGATTGTTACTTAGAGGTCACTGGAGAGGTGGCTTATTTGAAGTGGGCAGTGATACAAAAGCAATGCCTTGATTTACAGTATTAAGAATTACTTGGAAGGGGATTCTGAGGACATTGAGGACTTAGTATCTCACCTCCAGTGCGCTGGGAAGAAAGCATTTAACTGCAATGGTGAATTGGCTCAGCAACTCCTACACAAGTGGCACTTTACACACTATCACAGACTCATGCTTATCTGAAAACAAAAATCATACATATCTATAGCTTTATAACTCAGTAACAGTGTAAGCAAAGTGGCTAACGAGAAAATCCTACAAGTCAGAAGAAAGACTCAATTGTGATATCCTGGGACAAAGGTCTTTTCCATAGGGGCAGAAGAGTGGAAGTGACTACCAAGAGCTGTTTCATTCACAGGATCCTTCAAACATCCACAGCACAGACCATGATGCTTTCCAGCACCTATGACCTAATTCTTACTAGCTCATAAAAAAGAAATCCCCTCCCCCCAGGGGAAAGTTGATAAAACTTCATTTTTACTTTTGTCCACTATTTATGGTATATGAATCCTATTAGCAAAAATTTACGCTTGATAGAAAGAGTTTAATGCCTTACATCTGTAAGATTTTTAAACATTTGGGGGCATTAGTATATATCAGGTGCAATCAAAAAGTCACTTTCTTCTTGGTGAGAAATTTGTTCTTTCCTATGAAGGTTTTTCCTAACAGAAATTTTAGAAGACTCTGAAAAGCAAAGTTTTTTCCCTGAGGAAAACATCTTTAAGATGGTTTACCTACCTATCTTAGAATTAAATTTAAAAAAGAGATTTTACTGAGTTGAAGTAAAAACTAGGTATTTTACTTTCAACAGCAACTACAGTAACAAACTTTCAGTGGAAGAGGAATGTATTATTAAAGTTTTGCTTCTATGATAGTATATTTTGAATCCCCTTGGCATAGAAATCAGGAAGTGTAACAGTGCAACAGGGCAACAAATATGAAGGAAAATAGGTCTATCTTTCTACACTTCTGAATGCCCGAGGAGTCAGCATGGCATGGCTCAGGAAAAATATTTATGAATTAGAAAACCAGAAACAAGCACAACAGAAAAGCATTCTCTATTTAAAAGACAGGTTTAGTCTTTGTTTCTTGAAGATTTCACTCTCTACAAAAGCATCACACCTACACCAGACACCCACATAAGCTCCCAGAGAACTTACCCTGCTTACAAAACTGCCATTTCAGTGTAGACAAGGCACCTCAGAGTTTTACAGATGAAGTTCAAAGCAGGGGCCCGCTGACACCACGGCAACATCCAAAACAGCTCATCTGCCAAATGGGTAAAACTATATTCCAGCTTAAAACTATCCGAAAAATGCAAAACCACCCTTCTTCAGTCATTCGGGTTGCTCAGGTGTTGGAAAGCACAGGTAAGTTCAGCGCCAGCGGACTGCTGCCTTACAGGATTTCCTACGTCTGAAATTAGGGAGCAGAGAGAAACTTGCTAGACAACAAACTCTACTTCATAGCTGCCAAAGTGGGATGACACACACACATGCAATAATTATACACTGAAATGTTACTAAAGCTGAGTTGCTCATGGATGACTTAATGCCAGCAGTGAAATATCTGAAACGATCACTGCTCTGCAGTTTACATACTGTTTTCAAAAGAAAATGGTTATGCACATGCATTTGGGTTGTAAATTACATACCTTTATGTCATGCTTAGTTTATTATATACTATGGAACTACTCAGAAAGCAAAGGAAAAATGAGAAAATGATCATGCTAATTGCCCCAGAAAACAAAACTGTTTGCTATTACTTTGAAAAAGCGAAGTGGCCTTAGAAAACCTTACACTTGCACAGTGATAATGTCAGTGGAAATGTGGTGGGCGTGTTTCGAT